AGCGTCGAAAATTTACTCAATGAAGATACCTTATGTCCCAAAGAGTCTTTCCTTGAAATTACATTTCTTGGGATGCCTACCTTCCAATTTATACGGAATGATTTAACTGTCCATAAGCTGCTGGTGGACAGAATTGGTCGTTAGGAAAATATAGATGAATCGAAACAGGTTTATGGGAACGGCTGGCCTGGGGAAACATTCAGTGGAGGAGATGGCAAGACAGATAATCAATTCACGTCCGTCGCAATATTAATGAATTTCCTTAGCTGTTGGCCCCTTGTGTACACTTAATTGACATCTGAATGAGTGTGCCCTTATAAATAGCCACTTAAGGCATGTACCTATGCTGAATTCTGTCCGGAGAAACGAAACACTTAAGAGATCAGTGTGAAGTTGGGGAGAAATATAGACAAATGGTAAAAGTAAATTCGTGGACCTGTATGAAACTGTTAGGGATCAGGAAATACCCTTAAAAAGAGCAGCGAGTTACGAAGGCCTCCGTGGGCGGCACGATCAGCAGCGGAGTGAAATCAGATCGAGAATACGTATAACTATTTAGGAGGAGGCAGAAGAATTCAGATTTTCTGTTCCCCTTTCAAAATGCTTGGGAGCTGTTTTGACCTGAATTTGCACTTAAATATCCAAGGCGTCTGTCAATGAGTCAACGGAAAGTGTGTGTGCGTGTGTTCGAGCATCGATTTCGATTAAGTCCACCAAGTGCACCAACATGTTGATACTGAAGGTAACAAGTCTTAGGGGGTAGATGATAGTGCTAGCGGACGTAGTTGGCGCCAACCGCACTCTTCATCTTCGCTTGAGGTCAAGAAGACCAAGCAGAATTCAGGTGTTGGCCGCTTTCTCAAATGCAAGTCACAGACAGGGCCTAACTTAGTCTTAAGTCACAGTAGACTTTACGCGGGTACTGCCGCAATACCTACCCTCACTTACCCTCAATAAGTGTCAACAAGGGGTATAAAATCTGGGTTTATGTTTTTTCGAGTAAATACATTTTCAAGGCCCTGAGCAAATCAGGGCTCGCCTTGGTTTCTGCTCTCTCAACGCTATCCCCCAGGCTGTGTCCGTTTCTACGAGGAGCTGGACTACGAGGACTTGGATACTTCTGGTATAAGTGTTAATTCTAGTAATTATGAGGAGTTTTGGCAGATTTGCTTAATTTGAGTTGACCCAATTGTGAAAAAACTCCAGGCGTTTGGCAGGATTTTAACTCGCATAGTAAAGAAGGCCTTTACCGGAAGCCAACGCTCTAAACACTTGAGCTACACACGTCCCGGCATGTAGCTCACGGCGTTTGTAGCTCAAGTGGTTGAAGCGTTGGCTTCCGTTAAAGGTCTTCTCTACTATGGGGGGTTTAAATCTCGCCGAACACCTCGAGTTTTTTCACAATTGGGTCGACTCAAATTCTAGTAATCATAATTCCTTAGATCAGTAACTGGCATACGGCCTGTGTCTGCTTGTATGAAGTCGGCACCCTGTATGCACTCCCAATAGGCTTCCTTACTGAAAGTAAGCCATTCAGGATAGACCAAGTCCTCGCACCATGTAATGCAGATGCAAGGCACTGAATTAAATTATGTGCACCAAGGTGGGCTTTTTCAGGGTGAACATGGACGCTGCACTAGCCTTTGTTTAACTTGCGGCACGACATATATAACCGTTTCAGTAGGCATGTGAATCAGCAGGCTGGAGAGAGAGCGTTGGTCGAGCAGTGTAAGCCATTCAGCACGCTGCTACTACCAATCTATTTTTAACCCGAGCTAGTCAACTGCGCACGGCCCAGGCTGTTGCGGAATGCTGACAGAGCGGAGGGGATGGATAGCCTGCAGAGAGCAGAGCAGAGCGGAGAGAGAAAAAAGCGACTGACAACTGTTGGGCCACTTTTCAGGCCAACTCGCTGGACGGCACATCAACACACAGTTGTTCCTCCCTCACACTCTTCGGCCAACGCAGAAGGTAGAAGGTGTGCTGAAACTAGATTCGTTCACTGCGGAACTCTTCACTGTGGTCAGAAGAAGGCATGTGGATTAAAGGTGGCAGCAAACCGAACACGGGATATTTTGGTGAGAGTAAAAAGCAGGATTACGGGCTACGGGCACGACCATTACGAGGCCGGACTGCCGTTGGGAAACATGCATGCGTGCAACAGCATTAGTAGATTAAAAATTTACACACCAGTAAGTGCCTTCGAAAAAATAAAAAAGCTGAAAACAGGCTGGCAAAAGAATGAGCCAGAAGAAAAGGGGGCAACTAAAATGGAACGAGCAGCTGTTTTGCTGAAGAATACTGCAATTTAGGAGGACTTTTTAATTCTAGGGTAGCATTCTGTTTTCGCACAGCCTTCCATTAGTAGTCAGGTAGCTGAGAAAAAGACGACTCGATCGCTGGGACAATACTTTTATTCGCCTGACGTTTCGAGATCTGTCGCGGACATCGTCAAAGAGCAGTAGCAGTCAGTCAGGTAGCTGTTAGTTAAAGGGTTCGGCAAAACTGTCGTTTAGGGCCGCCCACATATATATTTCCCCGACCCAGCTCTTTTATGGAATTGGTAGATAAACATGTAATTATTGGTTAACAAGTGTAAATGAATATTTACTTGTGTTTAAAGTGATCAAAGAATATTAAATTAAAGTAACCTGCAGTTAT